CAGCGGGGATCGCGCCGCATCGGCGATGCGGCTCGATCAGCGGCCCGATGTTCTCCTCGCCGCCGTCGCCGATGCATCGCCGACGTCGCCGGAGCATCGCCGATGCATCGCCGATACATCGACGATGCATTGGCGACGTGGCGCGATCCTTCGACCCCCCCCTTCTCCTCCTCCTCCTTCTCCACCTTCGCCTCATCCACCACCTTCTCCTCCTCCTCCTCCTCCTCCTCCTCCCTCCTCCTCCTCCTCCTCCTCCACCACCTTCTCCTCCTCCACCACCTTCTCCTCCTCCACCACCTTCTCCTCCCTCCCTCCTCTCCTCCTCCTCCTCCTCCCCTCCTCCCTCCTCCTCCTCCTCCTCCTCCTCCTCCTCCTCCTCCCTGCCCGCCCCCGCTGCGTGCACGGAAGAGGCGCGCTCGGGTTGCGGAAACCGCGGCAGGAGCAGGGAGGGGGCCGAGGAGTGAGCGACGGCCCGCAGGCTCGCGTTCCTGCTCGTCGGCTGGCGCGCCCTTTCCCCGCGCGCGCGGGAGGGCGCGCAGGAGCGACGAGGAGCAAGGATTGAGCAGGAGGAGGACGAGGAGGAGGACGAGGAAGGGGAGGAGGACGAGGAGGAGGAGGAGGAGGGGGAGGAGGAGGAGGAGGAGGAGGAGGAGGAGGAGGAGGAGGAGCAGCGGGAAAGACGAGGAGGGAGGGGGAGGGAGGGAGGGAGGGATGCAGGGTAGGGAGGAGGAGGCAAGAGAGAGAGAGAGAGACTAAGGGAAGTGCAGAGAAGGAGTGGGGGAAGGTAAGAGGGTATGAATAGGGGAGAGAAGATGAGGAGGAGCAGGAGATGATGACACGGGGAAAGAGGAGGAGGAGGATCATGTAGTTGAGAACGCGTTTGACCAGACAACTCAACACGCAGCAACGCTACTGACATACACCTGGCCATCCGAACTCCTTTCCTCATACGTCCCTGCAGGCATTTCTTCTCACTTTCAGTCTCCCCCTCGAGAGACTGGTGCCACTGCGGTATTGTCATTCATGCTTCAGGCTTGAGCCCCGTTTTGTAAGACGAACCAGCTTCAACATGTGTAACTATTCAGTTTGGCAATCATGTGCGGCCATACATTTGCAGGTGTACCAGAAGAGCTGTCGAGAGCGAGCCGCAGGGCAGACACGCAGCCGTCCTCCGTTCACGTAGCTGCTGGACGATTCTGAGCTCGGGCCAATAAAATGGAGACACAGCATTTCGCCGAGAGCCCCGTTTTGAAGAGGGGCCGCCCTCTGTACCGTGCACGTGCGGCACTGTGGCCAGACCGTCCTGGTCCACCCGAGGCGAGGATTCGCCCCCCCCCCCTTCCCTCCCTCCCCCTCTCCCCCTCCCTTCCTCCAAGGGATCCCAGCGAGGTCACTCCCCACAGGAGTTCTCCCGTCCGTGACCCGTGGAGCTGGTGAGCACACATGAATGAACATAGAGGCGGGCGAAGGCGAGAGCGCTCCTCCTCGTCCTCCTCCTCCTGCTCCTCCTCCGCCTCGCCCTCCTCCTCCTCCTCCTCGCCCTCCTCTTCCTCCTCCTCCTCCTCCTCCTCCTCGTCCTCCTCCTCCTCCTCGTCCTCCTCCTGCTCGTCCTCCTCCTCCTCCTCCTCCTCTTCGTCCTCCTCCTCCTCGTCCTCCTTCTCCTCGTCCTCCTCCTCCTCGTCCTCCTCCTCCTCCTCGTCCTCCTCGTCCTCCTCCTCCTCGTCCTCCTCCCTCCATGTATGCAGGTGTTGGACCTTGCGAGCTGCTGGATCGTGTCTGGTGTGGCGGAGCAGCAGGCGAAGCGCCCGGGTCGCCCTTTTCGCCACGTCTTGTGGTGCCGCGAGGCGGTGCTGTTCCTGAGGACAAGTTTTATGTCGGGCGTGTCCCCCTACAGGGGGATTCTCTTCGAAAAATTAAAAACACACCAGAAATACCCCAAGAAGATCAACAAGCACTCAAACAATAGTCCCATACGATGTTTAGAGTATTTGTTGATTATGTTTGGGGTATTTTTTATTTTCTGTCGATATCCCCCTGTAGGGGGACTGGCCCGACTTACGACAAGTTGCTGGGGGGACCACTCTGAACCCCACATGCCTCACTGATGCTGCAACGAGCCTTGCAGTCTGCACGACTCCTCCTCTCGTACGCGCACGCGGTCTCCCTCCTCGTTGCGGCGTGACCTGGCTGAAGCTGTCAGGGCCCGCGTTTACGACACGCACGGCGTGTCCACAGCGGCGATCCCAGATTGCTGCTCAGGGACCCACCCGGCGAACGTTGCAGGTTTCCCAACTCAGTGCCCGCGGCGCCAGAGCGAGAACGCGACTTGGACCGCGGCCGCCCCTCACTCCGCGCAGCTCCCCCGCTCCAGAAGAAGAGACGAGGCTTCCAGCCTCCTCTGGCCCCCACCCCGCCTTTCCTCTTCCTCCTCCTCCTGCTCCTCCTCTTCCAATCCCCTCCTTCCAAAGGGCGCTGTTGCAGATGTGCGCGGCAGCGCAGCTGGATTGTTGCTGGTAAGTGCTTCGCCACGGGCAGCGTACGGGCGGAGCGGCCCAGGGAGGGGGGGAAGGCATCGACCTCTCCGCTCGAGGCCTGCTACAGGGCTCGGTTCGACTCCGATTCGATTCGATTCGATTTCGATGGATTCCGATTCCGATTCCATTTCGTCTTCCGATGTGGATTCCGACTACTCCATGAGGAGTCCGACTACTCCGTTTTCTGCCGATTCGACTCCTCCGGTATTGGCTGTCGATGTCCGCCGATCCGATGAATTTCGATCGCCGATTCGACTCATCGATTCGATTCTGGACTCTCCTGTGATAGCCCACCCCGCCCAGGAACGTGCGGATTCGCCATCGTGGGCCTATCGCCGATCCATCGGCGATGCCTCGCCGCTTCAAGCTCGATGGGTCCCCCCCCTCGGCCAGTCCTTCCCCAGTGTCTGCCCCTCACGTCGCACGCGGCCTCGAATCCAGGCGCGACTTCGCGAGACACCAGCCCGCCCTGGAGGCGCGCTCCAGCGGCCCCTTTTGGTGCCAGCGCTGCTTCGGGAACGTTGTTGACATCATGTGTCCGCCACATCGGGGCACTCCGGGTGACTCATGAGGGGGGGGGTCACAGCCTTAGTGGGCCCGGGAAACGTCAGGGCCGTTTTTTCACCGTTTCCAATAAGCGTCCCTTGAAAATGGCAACGGCAACAAAAACGGCGACCGGAAACGGCAGCAGAAACGGTTCCAGGATGGGAACCGGAGCGGGAGCCCGTAAAAGAACGGCAAAACGGAAGCGGTAGAAAAGCGGCGTCGGAACCGGCAACAAAGAACGGCAAAACGGAACCGGTAAAAAAAACGGGCCTTGTCGTTTCCAGGGCCCACTGATGGGGGGGGGGGGGTCACAGCCTTTGCGACGAGCCAGCACGGCGTGGGCATCCGTAGGTGTCGAGCCCGCGCCCTGCTCGTCGCCGTGGTAGCTGGATGCAGACGCCGCCCCCGAGCAGAGCCCCGCCCCCATGCCTTGTGAGATCTGCAGCACCCGCGTCTGGTCTGCACGAACGAAATGGGCACGGAAAGGATGGGTACAGTGGTTCAGAGGGGGAGCGGGTGGCCGTCGGCGGCTTGGCGCGGCCATCGCTCCGCTGCGGCCCCTGGTTCACCGGCTCCGCGCCCGTGCTCGCCCTGCTCCTCTCCATGCCCAGCCAGAACGATATCATGCCAGTCTGCACGCACGAAATGGGTACAGAAAGAATGGGTACAATGCCCAACAGCAGTTCCTGTTCATTTTGAACGGGACTCGCTGTCCGCACCGCCGCGGCCTGTGTCCACTCGAGACAGGAGTCCGCCTGCCCAACAGCGGCCGCTGCTGGTTTGGGACAACATTTGTCGTTGGGCATCGCACCCATTTTTTCAGTACCCATTTCGGGTGTCCACATTTGGACAGAGGGCACCAGCCAGCACATGCCGATGAGAAAGGGCCCAGCGGTCTGGCTCCACCTTTGGCAGCGCACCCCCCCGCAGCCCTGCTCGAGCTCGACCCCGCGGGCCCCCCCCCCCCAAAAAAAAACAGTCCTGCGCGAGTTTGGGATTCGGGGGGCAGTTGCGCCGTCTGTGCCGGCTCGCGGGCCGGCGGCAGCAGGCCCTGCCGGAATGAGGGAGCGCAAGCACGGAGCAGCGACGCGCGGATGGGCGACGGGTCCCGTTTCAGTCGGAGGTGGACAGACCTCTTGCCCTGACACGTCGATTAAGGAATTGGCCGTTTTCGGTTCGCGAGAGGGCGTCGCGGCCGTTATTTTTGCGGGTCCGGGTCCGTTTGTTTCGGTCCCAGGCCGTTTTCACTAAGGGGAGGTCTTGTAAAGGGAGGTTTGTCCACCGCTGATTCAGGTCCAGAATCCGCGCGATCCGTCGCCAGATCAGGCGGCTTTGGCATCGCGTTTCGGGGGGTAACTTCCCTTGATCCCTGCTCCATGGTAGAGTGTGCCCAACACGTCTACTCTTCTGTAGCAAGTCATGGCAGCCTTGTGTACCCTCGTAGTCCTGTCTTTGGAGTGCACTGGCGTCGACTAGCGTCGGGTAGTCGACGAGATGGTGCCGACTCAGCGTCCATGAGCGTCGAGGGAGCGTCGATGTGGTGCCGACGAGTGTCGATGTAGCGTCGATGAGCGCCGATTCGCCAGAGCCAACAAGATGGCATAGGAGGCTCCCATGAGTTGCTGCAGAAGCTTGCCCTCCTCCGCGCGCCGCCTTGGGAGGGCGCACCTGCGCCAGCCCCCCCGGCCCCAGGGTCGGCCCATATGCCGCGCATGCTCGGGCGAACGGCCACCTTTGGTGGGCCGATGTTCCACCACCGCTATCATAGGTAAGAATAGGAGGATGAGGAGGAGGAGGAGGAGGAGGAGGAATCATCGAGGAATCACCGATGGGGACCCTGTCCCTGCAGAAGAGGGGCGGATGCGCCACACGCATCTCAGTGCTACCAGGGCCGCACTCAGGGGCCCCCCGTGGGCGCGGATGGCGGCCCTGCGAAGTCCCGACCAAATTTTGCTGTCCCTTCTTGGTGCGTCCAGCACCACGGGCTGCTGGCGGGCACGCGCGAGCCAAGTGCCGTCCATCAGCCGCGGCAGTGAACCCGCAAAACATACAAAAAGCGGAGCTTCTCAAGGTCCCAGGACCAGATTTGATGGCTGGGGTCCACCAGTTTCCCACCCGCCCAAACCAACCCACCGACACGAGGAGGAGGAGGAGGAGGAGGAGGAGGAGGAGGAGGAGGAGGAGGAGGACGCGGAGGACGAGGACGTGGACGAGGAGGAGGAGGAGGACGAGGACGACGTCGAGGAGGAGGAGGAGGACGAGGACGAGGTAGGAGGAGGAGGAGGAGGAGGTAGGAAGAGGAGGAGGAGGAGGAGGAGGAGGAGGAGGAGGTTGCCGCAGTAACTTCCTCCCCTGGCCCCTGCCCGGCCTCCGCCGGCCGCCTGCCTGGCGCCACACGCCGCCACAGTCAGGTGCTACTGCGTCGTGTCCTGGGTCGTCGGCGCCTTCGTGCTGCCCACGCTCGACATCCACATCATGCCCGGCACGCGGTTCACCCAGGCGACTTAGTCGGGGGCGGCTTGAATAAGGAACACTAACTTTTCAAAAGGGGCTCCGTCGTTCCTTAGGCTTGCATGCGTTATTCATCGCCCCGTACACGTTATTGATTAGGTATCGTTCCTTATGCGTTATTCCTTGGAGAAAAAAGGGGTTTCGTTCTTTAGGTCAGGCCGATGACGGTAGTCGGGGGCGGCAAAGAGGGGGGGGGATATCATGGAGTGGGCCACGATAGTTCCCCAGATTTCAGGGCGCCTCTTCTCATTTCATTACGCCCCTGGCCCCCAACCTGGGCCGCGCACATGCCGCCGGCCATGATTTGCGCCCCCCCCCCTTTGACGCCCCCCTCTTTGCCGCCCCCGACTCAGGGCATCAGCCTAGGCCTCCTAGCTGGGGTCGGAGGATCGCGCCGATTCGCCGATGCATCGGCGATGCGGCTCGATGCGGAGCCCGATTTGCTTTACGTCAACGTCGCCGATGCATTGCTGACGTCGCCGATGCAGTCCCGATACATCAGGCATCGGTTCGTCTAAGAAGATATCGCAATAAACGTAAACTCGTGGCGCTCCGCGCGGATTTCTTGGATCCGCGCTGGGCCCCCTCCGGGCGGCGCCTCTGGCGCCGCCCTTGGCGCGCTCCGCGCGCCAGGGGGGGGGCCAGCGCAGATCCAAGAAATCTGCTCGGAGCGCCAAAAGTCCATGTTCATGGCGCTTGTTCTTCTTTTAGCATCAGGTATCGGTCTGGCGATCTGTCGGCTTATTAATCGCTTCGCTCATTCCGCCGGCCCGTATTGTACCATCGCAGGCGTTTGCTTGCGCGTTCGTGGCCTCTTGGAGCCTCGGTGGGGCCGTTTGGGGCCTCTTGGCGCCTCTTTTTAGGCCTCTTGGAGAACTCGGGAGGCCTCCAGGGGGCCTCCTGAGCTCTCGTGACGGTCTCTTGGGGGGCTTTCGGCGGGCTCTTGGCGGTATTTGTTGGTCCTCTTGGGGCCTGGGGCCTGACGTTGTTGGTCCTCTTGGGGCCTCACGGGAGCTTATTGGGGCGTCTTGGGGGTGTCTTGGAGAGTCTCTTGGGGCCTCTTTCGGGGTCCTGGGCGCCTTCTGGGGCGGAGGGCTCGATTTTTCAGTTCTCGGTTCCCTTCTTGAGCCCCTCTTGGGCCCGTCTTGGGGCCTCTTGGTCCGCCTTGGGCAGCACTTGGGCCGTCTGGGGGGCGCTCTTGGGCCGCTCCGGGGCCGTCTTGGGAGCCTCGTGGGCCGTCTTGGAGCAGTCTTGAAGGCCTCTTGGGCCCTCTTGGAGCGTCCGGAAGCGAAAAGGCCAGAACGCAAAAAAACATAGAAAAAACAATGAAAATCAACGATTTTGGCAACTTGGGGCCCTCTTCGGAGGCCTCTTGGAAGGCCCTTGGAGCGTCTTGGAGGCCTCTTGGGCTGTCTTGGGGCCATCTGGGGCGTCTTCGGGCGATCTTTGGCCGTCTCGGGCCTCTCTTGGACCGACTAGAAAGTTTCTCGGGGCCCTCTTGGACCGATCTGGAGCCCTCTTGGACTCCGAAACAGAACTCCGGCATCTCTGGCCCGACCTTGCCGGGGACTTGCCGGGACCTTGCCGGGACCTTGCTGGGGTACTTTTCGTCTGGGGACCCCCAGGGGCCGCCCCGCGCGCGCGAACTAGAAATACTGTTAACCAGGTACCGGAGATCTTAGCACGCCCTGGCCCGTTGGGCCGGCGAATATCTTTTCTTTTTTCCGTGCAAGCCCAATGTGTGGCAACGAAGAGGCCCGATCGTGGTTCTGAATCTCGAGGCAAAGGGCTGCTGATAGGAATCATGAGAGCTCATGACGACGGCTCTGCAATTCTCGAACCCTACTTGTGCGGGAGTCCCCCGCTTGCATTATCTCTCCTCGTGCCTTCCCTCTGTCTCCTTCCGTCGATCTTCTCTCCCGCCGTCCCCTCTTCTTTCCATCTGCCCCTCCTTTCTCATCCTTTCCTTCGCCGCGATGGAGGAGGGGGATCGAGGGAGGGAGAGAGGACGAGTCGACGGGGTCGCAGCGAGGCTACTTTCGGTAGAGTTGTGTCGTGTCGTCGCGGCAGCGATCTCGCCGCGGACGTTCCGGGGTGAGCACCGCCAGCGGACCAGAATCGGCCAGCATGGAACGATCTGGCGCTCGGGCGGCCGCCCCTCGTTCAGGGTGGAAGGATCCGCGCGGTGTCCACGAAAACGAACGCTGAGGTAGCCACGACACGAACCTGCCGCAATCCAGTGGAAGGGGCAAGTAAAACGACGCGAAGATCGGGACATAATCGGATCGGGCTAACTCGAAATCTCTGAGAATCGGCGGGTTTGGGGGATGTATTGGGCGCCGCGGCCGCTCCAGAGCGTTCCGGAACGCTCTGAGAGCGCTCCGGAACGCTCTGGAGCGATTTGTCCCGATCCTAGCCCTGTTTTAGCAAGCAGAGGCAGCACACGGCATCAGCGTCACCGCCACCGCCGCCGCATCCCGCGGCATTGCGGCGGCGCCACTGGTGGGGGCGCGGTGCCGAAGGCCAGTTGCCCACCAACCGCGAAGGTGATATCTACAGAGCGTGAGCGCTCGGGCGAAGCGTCCGTTGAGAGTGGGAACAGAACAACAACACAAACATACACTTTCGGTGGTCCGCGCCGACTTCTTCGATCTTCGCCTCCGTCGCCGCCACTGGTGCGCTCCGCGCGCCAGGGAGGGGTGTTGACCGCCGATCCACGACGCGCGGACCTTCGAAACTTCATTCGTATGCTGACGTCTCTTCTTCGGGAGGAGGCGGAGGAGGCGGAGGCGGAGGAGGAGGAAAAGGAGGATGAGGAAGAAGAGGAGGAAGAGGAATAAGAGGAAGAAGAGGAATAATAAGAAGAAGAAGAAGAAAAAGGAGGAGGACGAGGAGGAAGGAGGAGGACGAGGACGACCAGCAGCAGCAGCAAAAGCAGCAGCAGTAGCAGCACGAGGCTGGAGTGGAAGGAACGGGAGGAGCAGGAACCAGGGGAAGGCGGAGGAGGGGAAATGACGTGGGCCGATAACGGTGAAAAAGGACTCGGATTCAGAGCAGTGGCCCGCGCTGGGGCGCGAGCGCCATTCTAAACGACGGAAGCGACATGCCATGTCTCGGGCGTGTGTGGGATTTGGAAGGCGAGGTGCTCTCCGTGTCTCTGTGTGTGGTTGATTGTTGGCCTGCCGAGCTTAATGGCAGCAGGTTGGTAGCAGGTCGGGTCGAGAGCACAGGTTCGAAGACGTGCCGCACCCACGGCCGTGTAAGTGTTGGGGTAGTCGAGCTGTATCGCCATGATGTGTCACGACGTCATCTGTGGGAGCGTAATGTTGAAGACGTGCTATCCTCCTTTCGTGTACATCGCAGGTGAAGGCATTGTATGTTATGACCCAGCGCTGTTAAAGGGGTCTCGGGCAAGAGCGCACATTTGGAAACGTACCGCCCTGCTGAACTGATGGGGTTTCTGCATTCCTGGGCCATAGCTTGCGAAGATGTGTCATGCGAACTGCCTAGCCCGCGCCGCTGGCACCACCACGAGGGTGAATGGTGAATCGTTTCCCTCATTGTCCTGAGGTCTTGTCTGGTGTGCCCTTTTTCACACAGGTCTGGCTCGTTGTGATGTGGTGTGGTCTTGTACAGTGGGCTCTTGTGAGGTCTGGCCTCCTCCGCTGCGGTCTGGCAGCGCACGTGGTGGCCTCGGGGGGCCTGATCTGGCCTCCGCTTTGCTGGCCGTCGTGCGGTCTGGACTTTTCTGTCTTTGGACGCCCGAAATGGGCACGGAAAGAATGGGTACAATGCCCAACAACAACTGTTGTCCCAAACCAACAGCGGCCACTGTTGGGCAGGCGGCCTTCTGTCTCAAATGGACACAGGCCGCGGCGGCGCGGACAGCGAGTCCCGTTCGAAACGAACAGGAACTGCTGTTGGGCATTGTACCCATTCTTTCCGTACCCATTTCGTGCGTGCAAATTGTCATGATATCGTTCTGGCTGGGCATGGAGAGGAGCAGGGCGAGAACGGGCGCGGAGCCGGTGAAGCAGGGGCCGCAGCGGAGCGATGGCCGCGCCAAGCCGCCGACGGCCACCCGCTCCCCCTCTGGCGCGGCGATGGCCAGGGCCCTGCCGGCGCCGGGCGGCCTTGCTGCTGCCGGCGCTCCGCGCCGCGGCCGGCGCCGGCGCCGGCGCCTCGCCCGGCGCGGCGCCGTCGGCGGGCGCCTGCGAGGTGCCCGTGCTGCCCGAGCTCAGCTGCGCCGCCGCCGCCCCCGGCTGGGGGGAGCTGCTGGCGCAGCTGCGCTCGGACGCTCGGACGTCGCTCGGACGGCCCCTTCCCGTGTGTGTTTTTTCGGTGTCGTGCGTGCTTTTTTTTTTTTTGCTCGAGGGTCCAGGAGGGTCCTCGAGGGTCCTCGCCGAAGGGAAAGTGCCCACGTCCGAGCGATGCCCAGGAGGGCCTCGCGGAGGGCGCGCCGCTGCGGGCGCGCGCGGGGCGGCTGCTCGCCGAGTGGCGCGCGGCGGGGGCGCCCAGGCCGCGGGAGCTGCGCGGCGCGCTCTGCGCGGGCGGCCGCGGCGGGGGCCCCGCGGAGCCGCGGGGCGCGGGCACGGGCTGCGCCCTGGGCGCCGTGGCCGCGCTGCTGGCGCGAGCGCGGCACGGCCTCGGCTCCGCGGAGGCGGGGCGCCGCGGGGCCGCCGAGGCGGAGCTCCTGGAGGCGGCGGAGATCCTGGGCGAGGACCAGGGGGACAAGAAGGTGACAGAAACAGAAAAGCTCGGACGTCCGCGCGGACTTCTCGGATCGGCGCTGGACCCCCCTCCCTGGCGCGCGGAGCGCGCCAGGGGCGGCTCCGGGGGGCCCCAGCGCCGATCCGAGAAATCCGCGCGGACCTCCGAGTTTTTATGCTTCTGCCACTTTATTGTTCCCCTGAGGACGACTCCGCGGCGGAGCTCCTCGGCGCGTCCCCGTGGCCGGGCTCTGCCCTGGACGCGCTCATCAACCTGAACCAGACGGCGTTCGTGAGCTACGATGAGCACGCGCGGGAGCGCCCCGTCCCGCCGCCGGGCGTGCCCGCGCGCTCGCTGCACTGGCGGCCGGCAGGCCCGCCCTCGCCCGGCTGGCGAGGCTGGCAGGGGCGGCGCGGAGTGGTCGCCGCGGTGGTGGGCTCGCACGGGGCAATGGCGCTGGAGCCAGTGGATATGATGCGGCGTTACCTCCACAGCGTGGAGCTGCAGGTCAGTTTTCATGGCCTGGGGGCGCACTGGTGCCAGTCGCTCGGCGTCTGCGGCCCCGGCCCGGACGCGCTGGGCCAGCTGCTGCGCGAGGTCGCGAGCGCTCCTCCCGGCTCCGTGGGCTGGGACGCTGCGCGTGAGCGGGTCCAGGCCGCCCACGCCGGCGACGCCAGCCTGCAGCAGATGGAGTTCCTCGTTTGCACGGGGCCGCTCGCGGTCTGCCTCCTGCTGTGGCAGGTGGCCCGGTCGCGCGGCAGGCGCGTGCCGCTGCTCGGATACCTGAGTGGCGCGCTGCTGCGCGGCTGTCCGCCCGATGGGCTCGGCCACTTCCGGGACGCGCTCGGGGAAGCCTTCGGCTCCGGCGGAGAGGCCGCAGTGCTCGCGGCGAGCAGCCTGCTGCTGTCGGAGCAGGTGCTGCATCAGACGGGGCTGCAGGCTCCCTACGTGCGCCCGCACGGCCTCTACGCGGCCATGGCGCACGTGCCCCTCCGGGCGTCGGAGGTGCTGGTCTGGCAGGCCGCCCATGAGGCGCGGTGGGCCACGACGTGCACGCTGCAGCGGCTCGTCGACGCCCTGCCCGCGCCGGGCGTGTCGTTCAGGTTCGCGGGCGAGCAGGAGGAGATGCCCTACCAGGAGATGCCTCTGCACAGGGGGGTGGCCCTGCTGCCGCGCAGCCAGACGCCGATGGTCTTCTACGAGCTGTACAGCGCCGCGGTGCCGCTGCTGTTGCCCTCGGCCGAGTGGATGCACCGGCTGCTGCACGGGCGCGCCGCAGAGGCGCCGCTCGAGCTCGTGCCTCTGGGGGGCAGCCGCGAGGGCGAGGAGGCCGCAGAGGCCGCCGACCCCTCGGCGGCCCTGCGCGCCACGAGCGCCGGGCGACTCCAGGCCGAGCGGTCGCTGCAGCAGGGGCTGCGCTCCCAGGGGCTGGAGGAGGCCCGGGGGCACCTGCAGGCGGCCCTGCGGGCGGTGCAGGACATGCAGCAGACGCTGGCGGCGGCGGAGAGCCTCTCGCGCCTCCCCGCGGGCGCGGCGCCGCGGGCGCAGGGAGGAGCCGATCGCCCCGCGCGCAGCGGCACGCACGGCGCGGCCCGGCACCCGTACTCGCCGCTGCTGGTGCCGGTGGTCGGCGAGGAGGACGTCGGAGGCGCCGAGGGCGGCGCTGGGGAGGGGCGGGCCGGCCCGTGGCTGCGGCGCGGGGGGCAGCTGGACGCGGTGAGGTACTGGCACCAGTTCTCCGACGTGGCTCGCTTCCCGGGGCTCCGGCACTTTGCCAGCCTGCCGGAGCTGCTCTGCGCGGCGCGGGCCCTGGACATGCACGCGATGTCGAAGCAGATGCGGCGCTACAACCAAGGCCTCAGACGGGGAAAGCGCCACACAGACGCCGCGAATCGTCGACTCCCCTTGGACAATAGGTGGGACAATGTGGGAAGTGGGGGGAAGACGAACCCCCAGAGGGTCTGGACGCCCGAAGTGGGTACGGAAAGAATGGGTACAATGCCCAACAGCAGTACCCGTTCACTTTGAACCGGATTCGCTGTTCACGCCGCCGCGGCCTGTGTCCCTTCGAGACAGAGGGCCGCCTGCCCAACAGCGGCCGCCGTTGGTTTGGGACAACATTTGTTGTTGGGCATTGTACCCATTTTTTCCGTACCCATCTCGGGCGTCCAAAGAGGGAAAGTCAGGGAATCTTGGGGCCCTGTGTGTCTCTTCAGTCGTGTGTCCCCGGGCCCCTCTTGGGAAGGCACGCTCGTGGACTCCGCGGCGTTCTGGGCCCACGCGGCCGCGCTGCTGGGGCCCGGGGGCTGAGGCTGGGGAGGGCGCCGCGGGGGGGGCGCAGCCCGCGCCCTGTGGTCGTCCGAGCTCGGCCCGGAGAAAGGGAGGAGGAGGAGGAGGAGGAGGGGCAGGAGGAGGAGGAGGAGGAGGAGTTGACCGAGCCGCCACCCTGGCACGTAAGTCGGGCCTGTCTTCCTACAGGGGGATATTCGACGAAAAATACAAGATACCCAAAAATAGCCAAAAGATGCTCCAACAATAGTCTGGAGACTATGTTTTGAATATGTTTTCAGTGTTTTGGGGGTATTTTGGGGGTATGTTTGATTTTTCGTCGAAAATCCCCCTGTAAGGGGTCCATGCCAAGAAACACCTTGATTGCCTCCAGGGTGCCCTTGGCTTTCCTTGGGTTTCGATGCTTTTACTAATTATGGAAAGAGCGACGACCCCGTACCAAAAATCAGTGGACGTCCTGGGGTCACAGGGTTGGCTTTTTTGTGGAAGGTTTCTTGTTGAGTGACCTCCACTGTAAACATAAACTGTTGGCACTCCGCACATATTTCTTGGGTCTGCGCTGGCTCCCCCCCCCGGGCGGCACCTCTGGCTCTTCCGGCGCTCCTCGCGCCATGGAGGATTGTCCAGCGCAGATCCAAGAAGTCCTCGCGGAGCGCCAGAAGTCTATGTTTATGGCATTTAGTTTCTTCTTCTACTTAAGTCGGGCATGTCCCTCAACAGGAGGAATATTCGAAAATGGTGAGCAACATAGTCTGGTGACGATTTGTCGTGCTGGTTTGACTATTTTTATTGTTTGACTCGTTCTTTTTTCTTCCAAAATCCGCTTGTAGGAGGACATGCCCGACCTAAGGCAGATAGCCGAGGGAGGGAACATCCACCCTTGATTCATCGAGGACAAAAGGACCCCTAAGAACACGATGAATGCGTGGTCTCACCTGCAGTGGAGACCCATGCCAAGCAGCACCCTGCTTGCCTCCAGGGTGCCTTGAGTTTCTTGGGTTTCGATGGTTTTGCGATGGAAAGCGTGACGTTCCCACACCAGGAATCAATGGATGTCTTGGGATCTCAAGGTTGGGTTTCTTGTGGGAGGTTGTTTGTGGTCGAGCTCCTATTAGGTCCCCGTCCTCGCATTCGGGCAAATCAATCTGGACGGTTTGGTCTGATACATCTGCAACGAAAAACCTTACCCCTAATGTTTTTGGCCGTCCTCACTCAGGTTCCCTCCCAAGGGGTGAAGGGTTACTCCCATATCGGGGAAAACATCGACCCCTATCGGGGAAACGCAAGACTCGAGTACGCCGGAGCTCGGGTTTGCCGACGCTTTCTGACGAGCGCGTCGTGAATTTTGGCGGTCCGGTTTTCGAGAGATGTCTGCAGCGGGAGCTCGCGTCAAATTTCAGACTGGGTCTCGTCATTTTCATGATGGCCCCGTGAGTCACCGCCCACCACACCACCCCAACCCAACCCGAAGGCCCCGATTTGCCCTCCATTTCCAGTGGGGAGGGGGTCGCGGAACATTGAAAAAGCACGTGCGGAACCCGTACCCCCCCACACACCCCGAAATTCTGGTCTTCGGGTTAGGTTGGGGTGGTCTGGTAGGTAGTCAGTCAGGCCAACCTGAGTCCCCCCAACCCGAGTCTTACGTCTTCCCGACCTTGATCGCCCATTCACTGTCGATCGGGATCGGGGCCTGTGTGCTCCGGCCAGCTGCCGTCGCTGCCGCGGCCAGTCGCTGGCGTCGCTGCCGCGGCCAGTCGCTGATCTATCGGCGACGCCTCGCCTGTTCCACGCCGATGCGTCCCCCCCCTGAGCTGGTACTCCGAGTTGTTTGGAAGCGTCGGGTGGGCGTCACCCCCGCCGACAGCCCCGCATCGACCCCCGTCGCGGGCAGCCCGTCGGTTGGGGTCCCCCCACGCTTATTTCGGAGGTGGACAGACCTCCTACCCTGGCACGTCGATCAGCGAATGGGCCGTTTTCGGTTCGCGAGATGGCGTCGCGGCCGTCATGTTTGCGGGTCCAGGTCCGTCGGTTTCGGTCCCAGGCCGTTTTCACTAAGGGGAGGTTTACTAAAGGGAGGTTTGTCCACCGCCGATTATCAAGAAGCCCAGGGTACCTTTCGCCCCTCCCCCTCCGGAGGTCGGGACGGTGAGGCGCGGCAGGCAGCGGCGAGGTCGAAAGTTCCAGCAGGGGGGGGCGCGCACGGTGGGGCGGCTCGAAGGGGGGGCGGCCTTCGAAGGAGGCGGGGGGGTGCTTCCACGAGGGCAGGTGGCCTCTTGAAAGCCCTCCCAGCTCCCGAGAAGCCCTTGTGGAAGCCTCCGGGCGACCTTCCAGGGGGCCGCTGCCTGGCGTGAAGCCCGCCTCCTCGGAGGGCCGCCCCCCTCACGGTGCACCCCTTCAGCCACGCGCAGAGGGGGGTGGGGGGAGGGGGGAGGGCTTCTCAGAAGCACCCCTGCTTCTTGGAAGGCGCGGTCCTTACCTATAGTAGATGCAAGGCCAGCGCCTTCTAAGAAGCAGAAACTTCTTCTAAGAAGCCGTCCCCCCCTCCCCCTGCCCCCTTGTGCGCGCCGCCAACCTCTTGCGCATCGGCAGCTTGGATTCCATGGTGGCGATTCGCACGCGATGGAGTGTAGCGCAGACCACGCCCGTAATCATGGGTGGCACACGCTGATCTGGAAGGGTCTCTCTTCTGTTGCCGCAGCGCCGGCCTTGGATTAGGCTGTGCAGGAAGCGGAGATGCAACGCAGACTACGTAGGCAATTGCCACCCCCTGCCCGCGCCGTTGCACTCAGCCGCAAGCCGGACGCACGGGGCGAGGCTTGGCGCGTCGCGTGTCCCCCCACCGGCCCATCCGGTGGCCAGTGCCGCGCCCTCTCTCTTTGGAGGACTGTTGAGATACTCCAAATGTCGTAAGAAAGGGAGGGGGGTCTCATTTCGGGGGGGGTCGCTTCCAGACTATCTTGGAGGGCCTGGGGGGGTCGGGGGGCGATGTTTTGGGGGGTCCTCCCACGAGGGGGGGGTCTAAAGCTTCTCGTCTGGGAGGGTTGAGACCCCCTCCCTTTCATTACGAAATCTGGAGGACAGTGTGGGCGCGCCTCAAGAAGCCATGAGTGCTTTTCGTCAGGGTATCCTGGGTGTGACTTCCCGGAGCCAGCTGCGCGGTGACTTCCCGGAGCCGTGGAAGAAGCTGCTGCGTTCCTCCTCCTCCTCCTCCTCCTCCTCCTCCTCCTCCTTCAGGCGCACCTCCCGCGCGGGGTTTCAGGGTTGGGTTTCTGGCGAGGGTTTCCTGCGGCCGCGCCCTCACTGTGCTCGTCGGGGCTGCGTAATTAGGGGCGTGTCCTCCTTGGCGTAGGCATCCTCCGACAAGCTGAAAGCTGTTCGCAGTGAAGAGGGAGTGCCTGCTCAACTGTATACAGATGTACTCAGGTAGGAGTGCGCGTACATATTCGTGGTAAGGGTCTCCTTGGCTGTGTTGGGGGCAGCATGGGCCGTCTTAGGGGCCTTGCCAGGGTTTTCGGAGCGTTTCTTGGGCCCCCTCGTGCCGTCTTCGGGGCGCGATATGAACAAACATTTTGTGCTCCCATGGATGCTCTGAAGTCCACGTTGCGGTGAGCAAAGATGCAAGTCACATAGACTTGCTCTCTACTGAGCCAGGACCGTGCTGCCGCACCAGGCAAGAGACTGGGTATCATGACAAGAAACCCTTTTCAGAGACTTCCACCGAGTGCTTTGCATCACATCGCTACTTGCAGGCCTTGCGATGTGCATAAGAACTTGCTGCCCACTCCAGTGCTGATTAGAAGACGCCTACAGCGAGTCACCGCCGCCCCCTCACTTTTTGAATCGCCCATGTGGCCGAGCGTTGTGGCAAGAGCTCTGCCAAGCTATCCGATCATGTCCTCCCCCAGCCGTAATTGAAATCCTTCGGGGAACACTTTGGGGAGGATGGCGGGGAAGATCAGCAGGAGGAGGAGGACCCGTGTAAACCCAAGAGTCATTAACAATATATACCTTGCCTCCAAGCTCCCTGTTCATAGGCCCATACAACGCGTCATTTCCACTGGGGGAACTGCTTCGTTGGAAGACAACTGTTTGAAGACCCTGAAGTATGCCAACACATTGTTCTCGGGATTCCAACGCCACGGATCAGCCTGACGGTTGCGTCTCGACAATCCTGAATCGTGCCAGATTGCCGTTCTTGGGAATTCAACACCCCGAGTCAACGTAACTGTTGCACCCTCAAAATGCTGAATCATTCCCCAAAAAACATTTCTGGTTCGCTGATCATGGGAATCCGTGAAACTCTTGCACATTTCAAGTGCGAATGTGCGCGGCGTTAAGGCGAGCCACATTTTGAAAACGAGCCGCCTTCAAGCCGTGAAGTTCTTGCAAATATGTTCAAACAACTGTGCGCCAAGGCGAGAGCCACATTTTGAAAACGGACCGCCCTCAATCCGTGAAGCGCTTGCAATGTTTTTTAAAACGAATGTGCGCGGCGCTAAAGGCGAGAGCCACATTTTGAAAACGACCCGTCCTCCATGTGTGAAACTGTTGCCAGCGTTTCAGCTTCAGGGTCATACGTGGAGAGGAAGTCTTCTTGCGAAACGCCCGGCCCGCTCCAAAATCTGCTTTCGGGGTGCGACAGGGAGAAGTTAAGTATCGGAGGTTGGGGGGTGAGATCGAAGTGGAACGAAGAGGCCCCCTACCGGGGAATCGATTTCGATTTCGTGTTCGTGCCGTGCGTGCGTGCGAGGCGAAGCTGCGTGGGCGGGAGAGGAGAAATTATCGTGTGGCTGGGCCGCACCAGTGGCGCGCGGTGTCCCGCCGGTGTCCCGCTGGTGTCCCGCTGGTGTCCCGCCGGTGTCCCGTCGTGGCTGGGCCGCGGCCGGACCAAACGGTTCTCCGCCCGGCAGCCGGTGGCGCGCGGTGTCCCGCCGGTGTCCCGCTGGTGTCCCGCTGGTGTCCCACCGGTGTCCCGTCGATGTCCCGTGGTGTCCCGTGGTGAGATCGACAGTGAGATCGAT